AAAAACCATAAGTACTGGAAACCTGGATCCCTCCGCACCATGATCCGCTACATTACTGTTACTACGGATACGCTTGCGGATATCCGAGTGGAGTATTGTAGCCACAGGTGTCAAAATTATATCGTGTGAAGTAGTCCGAATGCATACATGTATATACGAACATGTATCAGTTTGCACGTAACTCAAGAAACCCAGGAAACAGTTGTTCTTAAGAAAATCCTCGAACTGCGCGAGTTTTCAATATTGTCAGATGTCAATTATCTGTTTTCATTTGAATAAAAATGTTTTTTCATGAAATTCTGTGTATTTAAATTTTTGTTTAAAGCCGTTAAATAATGAGTTTACATATATTTCTCTTGAAAATGGAATCACGTATCAGGGATAGGTCCAATTACTTTAAAAAGGTAATTAATAAAATTACAATTACTTTGACTTTTTATTCAATTTATTAAAAGGCTTGTTATTAATTAAATTGCAATAACTTTGCAAAAAAATGTAATTAATTACAGTCAAGTACAATTATTTTTTTTTATAATTACCACATCTCTGCCACATATGCATTTACAGATTGAAAGGGGGGAGGGGGGTGGATTCTGTGAGATTTCTCATGTTTCCTCCAGAATGTTGTGTAAGCTTACAGAAATTTAAGACGAAATATATCAAAGAACTATTGAGATCTTTTGGAAGTTACTGTACAGTACTTTGTACGGCCAAGCCTTTCCTCCTAGAATTCAGCCAACGGTTTTCTATCTGATTTAAAGTATGGCCAACATAAACAGAAAAAAATATCGCAGCATGAAACAAATGAGTGAAAAATTCTCGAATGGGACGTAAACAACACACAATCAATCAGTCTTTGGGACATACTTGTTTTATAGAGGCATTGCAAAATGTCAAACATATACACAATTTACTAGCATTCAAATTTTCTTGAATACCTTGCAATTGTATTGTTTACTACATAGGCGTCAGAACATTGCACATAATGTAGGCATTGAAATTTGGGGTTTATCTTTTTTTGTTGGTTTAGCCCCCCCCCCCCCCCCCCCCCACTTTCACTTTTAATTTGCTTTCGACGCCTATGTACTACCGGGGTATATTCTTAAAGATCAAAATGCCACAGACACGATGCAATGTTAGGAAATATTTTCTAACAAGGTCGATTATAACGATCAAAGAATTTACGAAATTCCAACTTTAAAACGAGGTTTTTGAAATCCTAGTTACATTAATTTACCAGTGAATAGCATGTTAACAATTTTTCTTTATTTTATTTTACGTTACTTTATTCTAATAGTTTTGGAACCGGAGAAGCAAACAGGCAGTGCAGGTGCCGTGGCAGGAGGCGTGATCGGTATGTACATTATTTGTTGTATTTTTTTTTCTTTTTCAGTTCAAGTTTATGTCATATTGCATATTCTCTATCAAAATGATTTGTCATATTAATTTTTTTAAATGCTATGCTGATTACATTCTGTCTGGCATGTGCTTCGGAACTGGGGAGGGGGGCTTCTTTGTTGACAAAGATGGACATAAAAAAGGCATTGGTAATTGGGTTTATAATTCTTTCAAACATCTTCTATGTTGGTTAAGTATCCAACCCCAAGTTAAATTTGTTTCCAATGCCATTGATTGGAGTATGTTCTGTTTCAACTAAACTTTAAATCTTTTTAATTAACACCTTCATTTTTACTTATATTAAGTTATTATTACGCATGTTTTACGTCATTTTTGGGGGATCAAAGTCTTTTTAATTTCGAAGTTTATTCTCTCTTTGAAATTATGAGTTAAAGTTGCAGCTTGTTTTCAGCTGATCATCCTACTGACTTAATTTGTTTAAGTACAATATTTACCTTTTCATTTACAGGCGCTCTTTTGGCAATAATCATCATAGTTTTATTACTTATATTCATTATGGTAAGAAGGGGAAAAATGAAAAACCCAATAGAGCGACTGCAATCCCTCTCAACGAAGCGAAACAAATACATTGACCACGATCTGTCAAACGTTGAGAAAAGACTGAATAATACCGGCATTCCAAAGAGTTATAACGTATGTTAAAGAAATTTATATAAATGCAAATGTAAAACCCCTTAACATTTATGCGAAACGGGCAAAGATAAAACGGGGCGGAAATTTTCATTAAAATAACAGTATTCAAAAAGAGATTCTCTATCTTTAGTTGCACACATTGTAACTTATTTAATAAATAGCCTAGAAAGAACTCATAGCAGAAATAATATAATTTACTTAGCATATAAGGAAAACTTTTGACTTGAGTAGATGATGTGATTGACTTTAGAGTATTGATTTTCAGAATCGTGCCTACTCTCAGGAGTTTGACGACGACGTATACTACGCTGAAAATGAGACCCCTCTAAGGTATCAAATTGTCCGATCGAGAATTACGTTCGAGGAGGAGATCGCCAGAGGGAAATTCGCCATTATCTACAAGGCAAAGTATTGCAGAGATAATTCCTCAACAACTGTCGTAGCCAAAACATTAAAAGGTACGTTATTGAATTGAGGTGTGCGGAAAACAAAAGAATGAAGGTAAAAGTCAGATCTCGGTTTTGATAAAAATATAATTTTAATTTTTCAGAAAACCCAACTCAAGCGGATATTGAGACCATGCATGCCAAGGTTAATTTCTATACAATAAAGATTGGAGAACATCCAAATGTTCTGAAGTTTATAGGAGTTGTGGATGACGACGTTCGTGAGTATAAAATAAAATTCTCAAACACACAGTGAAACTTGTCCAATCCGACATGCACTCGGAGACAGATTTTGTGTTGGTATATACAGGGTGTCGGATTGCACAGTGTTAAAACATAAAAAAATAGTAAAATGGTAAAAAAAAATTTATGTCGGAACTCACAGTGAATTGGATTGCACAGTTATCGGATTAGAGAGTTTTTAATGTAGTAAAAAATTTACTGTCTAAGGCCATCTATAAAATAACATTTGCTTGCCCTCTCCCGACTCATGGTAAATTTACTTGATGGGAAAATCTTGTTTCTAAAAAACTTAAAAATTAAATTAATTGTCGATGGGATAGGAAGGAAAAAAAGAAAGAAATATAGTGCCCTAGAATATTGAAAGAAATGAGTGAGACCCTATTACGTCAGTCGGTCGGGAGAGACAATTAACAAAACACTTTTCAAAAGATGTTCTTAAGTAAGTATCGAACATAATACCAAATCACAGCTTTTATTTTCACCACTATGTTTTGTTCTGGGATGATTTATTATATATTACTTGTTTCTTTGTTTTATAGTTGGTAGATTTATGATACTGGAGTACTGTGAAAATGGGCCCTTGAAGGACTATCTAAAGACTAATAAACATAGGGTTAACGACGACATGCACGAGAAACTGTTCCGATTTGCCTGTGGAATATGTAAAGGAATGAACTACCTAGCTTCTCAGGGGGTTTGTTTTTATTTAATCATAAAAATTTTCAAAGGACGTAGGAACTGGAACTTTACAAAACTGAATTTATGCATCGTCTTAACGATGACAATTATTTATTAGGTATCTGAAATGAAATGTCAAAACGTTTAATATAATATTATTCGCCAATGAGTAAACTTTACACTTTTGTATGTTATTTATGTGATCCCACCTCTAATACTTGAGAGGTCTGTGTTTGCGATGCTCCTGATTTGTATTGTTGGAATGATATTTTCAGATTGAATAATGTACGTTATCTCCAAATAATTCAGTAATGGCTATTTTTTAATGTTTGTCCATTCATTGCGTTGTGTTTAATATTTAGGTTGTACACAGACGTCTCGCGGCCAGAAACATTTTGCTGACGTTCCTGCTGGAAACAAAAATTACAGGATTCGGTCCAGAACCTCGGGATAATGATGGTGATTCCAAAAACGTATGAAACTTCTGAAAATGCTGAAAAAAATTTATAAAAATTCAATAAACATGGTTAATATAATATCTTAAAGGGGAATATGGCTTTTTAAGAATTTTATTCACAAAACGAAACATTTTGCCGAGATTCGACGTGTGGCATTTTAAAGAGAAACCTCAAATTATTTTATTTTTTCTCTCCTTATTACCGCTTTAGAATTATAAAAGGATTTTGATAAAATTGAATTCCATCGAATTCGAAATTTGAATCATCCTTGTATTCTGAATGATAAAATTGCACTGCTTCAAAGAATAAAAAAATTTAGCAAAAATGTGCAAGAAAACGAGAAGTTCGGGTTCAAATTGTTCTCTTGATTTTCCATGTTAATAATTATCATCAATTATATCACGAATCCTATCATCAATTATCAAATAAAACAGTTCAACTCACACTTTTCAGGAGAGAATTCCCATTAAATGGATGGCGCCGGAGTGTATAAAAACCACAAAATACGCCACGGAAAAGAGTGATGTTTGGTCTTATGGCGTGCTTCTCTGGGAAATCTTTTCTATGGGTAAATATTTTTCTCACACTTAAAAGAAATTTAAAATAAAATAACTTTCATTGTCAAGTATAAGATATAAATTTATGATTTTCATTGAAGGCGAATCCCCGTATGAAGGCATAAGGAGTAACGAATTGGAATCTAAATTAAAACGAGGCGAACGACTGAAGAAACCAGAACACTCCGATGATGTGTATGATATTTATTTAATCATTTAATAAATTGCTTTGAAGTGTGATAAAATAAGGAAAAGTTTATAATAATATATTAAGCTATTTCACATTTTCAATAATTCATTCATGATATTTAATTCATTGATAAACGAATGGAAATAATATTTTTGATGAAGGTAATTAATCCCATATATTCTATTTTTCCAAAACTGAATTTTCATACATGTTACTAATTTACAGTTTAGACATTAAAATATTTTATTTAACTTTTTAATATTGTAGTTTCTACAAAATCATGAAAAAATGTTGGCAATATGAGAGCGGAAAGCGTCCAAACTTTGAAGAAATCCATGATGAACTTCAAACTCTGTTCACCGGAAACATCGACGGCGATGACTATTACTACACTCAAGGGGGACTTTATGACAACCGTAAAGCGTAACAATTATATCATTAAAAAAAATCCATTTATTCTTCATTCACCACATAAATGGAGTGACAGTAAAAAACGAATCCATTTTTGTAAAAACAATTTAGCTTGATATGTAGCATAGATATCAATAAGCTCACATAGCGAGTTGTGATCAGAAGGAAAATATATGAATATATATGTAAATAAAACTATGTTGGAAATGGATCAAAATAACATATGATGACCAATGTTATTGTTTTTTATATTTGTAGCGCTCAAATATGTAATCATATGTATAAATGTAAAATTATATCTTATACATACATTTAAACATTTGTAAATTACATAGATATACCATTTTTAGAAGAAAAAGAATTACCAGATGTGATTAGACACTGGTGTATATACATGATGTAGTCTGTTCAAAGAAGAGATATACTAATCCACGATTCAGTGAATACTCTTTTTATCTGGGTTTTTACCTAAGGCAAAATCGAGCTTAATCTTGTGTAATCTGAATCTCTTTATAGGTAAATACATTTTTAAAAAACCTGATTGTCATAGATTCATTTCACTAATTAGTTTAAAGAGATTTTGCTAGTTTTTCTCTCTCATATGTAGATACAGTGTACTTTTTATGCTATATGTGTTGTTCATTATATCTCCATTTCATCTAAGCCGATGGATCAAAAAGGCTTTTTTTTCCTTTTTAGTTTTTTTTTTTAATTTACTTTTATATGTAACTGATATTATTCTTTGAAATATTATACGTTATAAATTACACTTAGTATTTAAAATGAATTTATCTTTATAGTATGCATTAAGGGATTGACTTTGCTTGTGAGAGATCTCGATCAATATTTCTAACTGTGTATTTATTAGTAAAACACTTTTTAAATAAAAATATTTTTCTGAACTCAAGGATCAAATAAACATATCAATATCCGGAAAAGTATTCTAATTTTTGCTTCATGATGATAATCAGTTTACTTCCATGTATTTATTACCTCTGATGTAAAACGGGGGTGATTTTTTGCTCTAAATATATTTTGTATTGTTTTATGAAAACTTTGAGATTGATTACTATCCGTTATGAATATATCCTTCTTGCGTGTTAGTTTTCTGCTTAAGCTGCAGTTAAACAGAGGTCTCGAAAGTACACACACACAAGTATGATCATAATACATGTATATTTTTACATTTGCTAAAGTCTTTGACAATATGTTGCATTTCTATAACAATGTCCAAATATCAGGCGCCTAGGAGAGAGTGAATATATTAAAGTAAAATACGCCGTAATATTTACAGAGATAAAATATCATTTTTTTAACTGACAATCGGTATGAAACAAGTCAGCCAAAAAAATGACTCAATTGTAGAATATGCCGAGTAGAATGCTTCCTTTTGAATAATTGATCACTTCATATCAATCCCAATGACGTGCTTCAGTAATGATATTGTTATTTCATAAAAAGACATGGAGATAAGAAGGAATTCATGATGCTGAATATAAATTAATTCATTCAAAAAATATGACAGTTCGTGAACGATCAAAATTAATTTGCAGGTAAAGGATATATTTGCGAGCGCTAGATTTGAACGTTCGCTCTATGAAACCAACTTAAATCTCGCGTGAGAAATTTTCAGCTAGATGTTACATAACGCCTCATAATCAGTATAAAACAACAACTGACAATCAGTATCAAACAAGTCAGCAAAAAATGACCCAATTATAAGTATGTTTGCTATCAGCAGTGAGCAGAATGCCTCATTTTGAATAACTGATCGACTCGGAACAAGTGCTTCAGTGCCGAATAAGTTGCAATACATAACAACATAAGAAGATGATAGCTGCATATAAATTAATTCATTAAAAAGGAAGTCTGGCGATAGAGAAGCAGAAGTCATCTCGTTGTTGCTTGATTTAGTTTTTGGTTGACCCCTTAGCGTCTTTAGACAACTAAATAAGACAGTTTTCTTTTTGTTGAATAAACCGATATATAATATTTTTTGAAATTCGTCGATACGTATATATCTTTATGGAAATTTGAAGGTCACAGTAAACCTTTACTGTTCTTTTTCTATACAGGTTTATGAATAAATCCTGCTTCATTGAAAAAAATTGGTCAGCTAGTAAATGAACAAAATTAATTCACATTAAATGCCCAAAATAAATTGATTGTGTCAATGAGGCACTCCAGTTGCCTATGACGTCAACAAAGTACTTGTAACGGGTGAATGATATATTTTCCTGATGACAAACCACACAAGATGTAAAAATTTCCGCTTTCTGTTTTCTTTGAAGAAGCAGTTACCTGCCGTAAAGGAGAAAGCAAAAGGCTATCCCTTTGAGGATTTTATGTACAGATTGAAGCAAATATATTAACATTCAGTGCAATTTTCTTTATGAAATCCATTAAAAATCCATGACGTTCAAATCTCGACAAAACACGCGAAACCTTGTCACCGGGCGTTAGAATACAAAGTAGGAACTATATGTATTTTCAATACTTTATGAACACCAAAATGTATATTGTTTGACACAATTTAATTTAAAAAAAAATAACTATGTTGAATTAACGTAAAAATACAACAAATGTGCACTTAAAATTAATTTGTCACTTTTTTCCCCTCGCAATGGTCGTTTGCATTATCTAACTTTACGACGTCACAAACGTCACAAACGGCTCTTACGTCTATAAAACACACCAGTTTTGAAGGGCGCTAAATTCACATCAAAGATTACCGAAATAAACAATTATGAAGAGGAAAAACTAGAGAATGTAAATATAAGTATTGAATTCTTATTTTAGGATGTCTTCGGTCCTATTACACACCTGGCCGTGCCGACAAATTATCATACCGCGCTAACGACAATTTGTCGGCACGGCCAGGTGTGTTATAGGACCGAAGACATCCCAAAATATGAATTCAATGCTTAATAGTAGGTTTAGATGTTTTAAATTCTTTAAGTTTATTAAAGTTTTAATGAAAAGTTGTTTTGAAATTTTGGGGATCCACATCTGATTTACATCACTTTTAATATACGCTGTAACATAGCGCAACTCCTTTATATAGCAAATAATATTTTTCTGGAGAGTTAAGATAAGGGCTTGATTAAGCATTTTTGAGGATTTTAATAAAGTTTAGGATTCCAGTAGAGGTAGCTTGGATCTAATTTAAAACTTGCTTTAGTTGACTGGCATATCAAAACTATTAAACACTGAAATTTGATCAGAAGAATTACTTCCCTGGCAAGTGAACTCTGAGTCCATGTTTCATATCCAGACGTAGAATAAAAATCAATGTCTTCCAAAATACAGTTCTACATGAAATAATGATCCTTACAAACAAAGACGATGTTAATACAAGCCTTTTCTGCTGGAACCGTTAAAATTTGTGAAAGTGTAAGGATATGTCAGTCTAACGCGTCTAGAAATTCGAAGTTTCAATAACTTCCAGAGAAAATAAAATATTTATTATAATTTCGTATGAAATGCTATTGTAACATATAGGTTATGAAATTACACAGAAAATTTAAGAAAATATTGACATCAAATCTGTGTCTATTCACCTTTAAAGAAGAGAGACTCAGGGACCATATCGCTGAACTAAGCAACAAAAGCCAAATGACTTAACTTTGCTCAAAGAAGCTTCACAAAACTAAATACAAATCCAAAAAAATAAAACAACTTGTATGAAATGGCATATAAATAATTCTTAAGCATTTCAATACTATTCAAACAGCTGTAAAATAAAGACCATCATACGAGGGTTGTCCTTAAAGTTCGTACACAAGCTAAAATTAAATTAAAAGTCAGGTCATTGATATTTCATTTATAATTATCATATGTAAAATCCTTTACTAAACGTGAATTACAAAATATATTATTTTCTTTAATTTTATTTTGAAAATTACAATTATGTCTTCATAATCAGAGATGGGATGGTGACCTGGAGCACGGCAAAGTTTTAAATAAAAAAGTATTCATCATTTTATACATTTCATTTGTATTGGAGGGTGTCAGGATGTGACTAAAATCCCAACATTGCCAAAAAAAGCATTCTTCGAAGAAATTGTGAAAAATAAAATTCTTGCTTTTTTAGGCCTAATATTTGTAACATTGGAACATGCATTCAACTGTTCATGTTACCTTCTGTAAATGAAGTTTGATTTTTTTTTCATTAAAGGGTTGATATCATGCATCATGATTTTTTGATATAACAAAGTTTATATGCTATTCGAATCATCCATCAATTTTTTGCTGTTAGAAAATTAATATTTTTGGTGTTTCAGCGATTCAAAGTTTAAATTTCTCAATATACATATTTTGATTGCCGATGTTGCGCGCCATTGCTCTGACGTCATAGGTGTCAGTCCTGGTCAAGCGAAGTACTTATTGTGTTTACAAAACGGCTCAATGGCTTCGTCTATAAACCCTACTAGAAATTAAATAAGTGATAATTGGTTTATTGATAGATAAAAAAATATAATTTGTGGAGTTTGGATGAAAAATTAGCACAGGAAAGGTTTGAGGAAGTTTTTTTTTTACCTGCCAGGGACTTGGTCTGTGTGAGGATTTGTCTCCATTCAGAGCATTCGTTTATGTACGATCACAGTTTTTTTCTGTATTATATAAAATATCTTTTTAATGGAAAGAGAAATTTTCAAAAAATAATAATTTATCAATAGGCATTTTAAAAGTCCGGCACACATCATGCACCAACTTGTGAAGTTCGTAATGCCGCACGAAGCCATTGAAGATCGAAGTGTCCTTTCTATCAAATGATGTTCATGGCTGGAACAGATAGAAGATACACAAGATCTGTTTATGTATAATTTATTAAAATAACGAAGAAAGAATACGTATAACGACCATTTTTATAATTATTTAAGAAGTCAAACGTTAAAAATTCGATCTATTCAGTCAAAGCCAGGAGTTGTCTTTAACGGCTTCGTCTTCAATGCCCTATCCTCCTTTCACGGTATGTTTTTTGTTTATTTATTTTTTTTTTTTGTTGTTGTACAAGCTAATACATATAAGATTGAGCATCCATAGCCAAAGTTATA